CAAGTTTTTAAGCACTACACCAAATTGCGCTTTTGCTAACTAATAACATTTAATGGTCAACACAATTCGCCACTTTAACCAAGTTTCAACTGGGGAACCAACTGACAGCCCGCCATAGAACAAAAAATACAAAAATAAAAAATAATAATAATAATAATAACGCGTTGATTATCTAAAAGAAAACTTCATTTAAATGCGATCCCAAACAGTTACCTTAATACCCTAATCTCTTATTAAAGCTGAACGTATTTTGATATACATATTTTCTATATGTTATATTTCGATATAGTTTTAGTTATTCCATACAAGATCAGGATTGGAATTACGTAACTCGAGATTTATTTGTATAAACTTATAAAATATGTATATATGAAGGATATAGTCTTTGGTCTAGTATATCTGTTCAGAATAATCTGAATAAATTTACTTAACAAATATGCACTCAGTTAATAATAAATCTAACTAAAAAACATTTCAATGTGCTGTAAAAAAAAATTAATAATGGTTTTTAAATATACCAAATACAATAAATTATTTATTATTAAATCATAATCAATTAATATTAATATTTTAACATAAATAAAAATAATTATTTAAAAAAAAAAAATAATATTAATTTATGTTGTTTTATTGTAAATATATATTTCTATTATTCATTAAGAAAAAAATTTTATAAAATACTATATACTATATTATTTTAAGAATAAATCTAACTAAAGAATATTTCAATGTGTTGTAAAAAAATAACTTTTTGTATACAATATATAATGAATTATTAATTATATAATCATAATTAATTATTATTATTTATTTATTTACAAAAAAAATTTTTTTTCTTAATTTTAGTATATTAAAATGTTAAAAATAATTTTAACATATTAAAATTACGAAAAAGTTTTTTTTTTTTTTGTAAATAAATAAATAATAATTAATTATGATTATATAAAAAATAAGTCATTGTATATTGTATACAAAAAAAAAAACAACTTTTTCTTAATTTTAGTATGTTAAAATGTTAAAATAATTTTAACATATTAAAATTACGAAACAGTTTTTTTTTTGTAAATATATATTTGTTTTATTCATTACAAAATATTAAATGAAATACTATATATCTAATATTACAATCATATGTACACTTTATATATTTTTAAGAAAATACAACTAATAATAATAACTAATTTCAATCAATAATAAAATCAATAAAGCATCAATGAAAAATAAATGAAATAAAAAATAAATAACAAAAAAATATATATATATTTTTTATTATTCATTTAATAACTAATTCATTAAGCTGGAATCATTAATAATTTACATATGCATGCATATACATACATATACATATGTATATAGAACTCAAACAACTTGACTTATTCACTTATTCGATTGCTTCTGAGATAGAGAAATAAATAACTTTAACTGATTAAGTAGAGGGAAAATGCACCCTATAGCATAATTATGTGAGCAAAGCTTAGAAGGACAATAACTTAATTAGAAAGAGATGGAGTAGGCGAAAAGTACCTATAGCGCTCTCGCTCTATCACTCTCTGTCTCTGTCTCTGTCGCTCTGCTGGCCTTTAAGACAACAGCTGCAAATTGTAAGATACGCTTAGTCTACGAGCCTCGAATATGCAAAACCCAAATGGAACAAAGCCCCAGATGGACAGCCAGACAGGGCGACAGAGATGATGATGCGAATGGTGCTGCTGCTGCTGCTGCTGCTGCTGCTGCTGCTGCTGCTGCTGCTGCTGCT